GGGGGAGGGGGGGGCGGGGGGGGCGACGGTGGGTGGGGGGGGGGGGGGGGCGAGTGAGGGAGGGGAGTGAGTCACCCGCCGAGCGGGGGAGGACTGGGCGGGGGGGTTGTCAGGGGGGGGGGGGGGATTACACGGATTGGGGCGAGGGGGGGGGGGCGGGTCGGCGGGGGGGGGCGTGGGGGCGCGCCGGGGGGCCGGGGGGGGGCGGGGGGTGGGGGGGGGGGCCAGGGGGGAGATGGTGGCTGGGGGACTCGGAGGGCGGGGGGGCGGGCCGGGAGGGGGGGGCTAGGCACCGGGGGGGGGCTCCGGGCGGGGGGCGGGAGGGGGGTGGCTGACCTAGCGGGGGATCAGGCCAGGGAAGGGCGGTGGGGGGCGTGGGGGGGGCTCAGCCGCCGGGCCGTCAACGGGGGCAGGCCCGGCGGGCCCTGCCTACACGGGGTGGCGCGGTATGAGATGCCCTAAATGGGGGGGGGTGGGGGGCCGGGGGGCTCGAATTCGGTGAATTAGGGGAGCGGCGAATCGGGGGACAGGGGGGGGGGCGGGGTAGGGTGCCAGGCAGGGGACCGGGCGGCCGGCGAGTGCGGGGGACGCCCAACCCGGAGTTGGGCGTGCGGGGCTGGGATTGTGCGGGGGGGGGACTCGCGGGGCGACGCCAGGGGGCTGCGGAACGGGGGGCCTGGGCGACGGTGTGGGCGGGTCGGTTGGGGCCGTAGGCGCGGGGGCAACGGGCCCCGCAACCGAGGCGGGGGGCAGGGTGCCCAGCGGGGGGAGGCGTGGACAGGGTCCCGCGGGCGGGATCAAAAAGCCTCCGGCGGGCCTACTCGCGGGCAGGTTGGGGGGCGCGGTGTGGCGCGGACGTAGGAGGGTTATGGGCGGGCGGGGGGCAGGGTCGGAGATTGAGCCCCGGGACCCAGGCTGGAGGGGGCGGGACCGCCCGGGGGAATGGGGGGACATTGGAACCCGCGAACGGGGGGGCGCCGGGGGCGAGCGGGGGGCCGGGGGCGGTGGGGGCGGGACCGGGGGCGAGGGCGGCAAGCGGACCGGGGGAGGAATGGCGGGTAGGTGTGAGGTGTGGCGGGGACTGGTAGGTTGGCGGATCGGAGTGGGGGGCGGGGGGGGGGGGGGCGGGGGGGGGGCGGGGGGGGGCGGGGGGGGGGGGGGGGGCGGGGGGGGGGGGGGGAGGGGGGGGGGGGGGCGGGGGGGGGGGGGGGGCGCGGGGGGGGGGGCGGGGCGGGGGCGGGCGGGGGGGGGGAGGGGGGGGGGGGGCGGGGGGGGGGGGAGGGGGCGGGGGGGGGGGGGGGGCGGGCGGGGAGGGGGGGGGGAGGGGGGGGCGGGCGGTGGGGGGGGGGGGGGGGGCGGGGGGGGGCGGGGGGGGGGGCGGGGGGGGGGGGGGGGGGGGGCGGGGGGGGGGGGGCGGGGGCAGGGGGGGGGGGCCGGGGGGGGGGGGGGGGGGGGGGGACGGGCGGGAGGGCGGGAGGGGGGGGGGGGGGGGGGGGGCGGGGGGGGGGGTCGTGAGGCGGGGGGGGGGGGGGGGGGGGGGGAGGGGGGGGGGGGGGGGGGAGGGGGGGGGGAGGGGGGGGTAGGGGGGGGGGGGGGGGGGGGCGGGGCGGGGGGGGGGGGGGGGGGGGGGGGGGGGGGGACGGGGGGGGGGGGGAGGGGGGGGGGGGGGGGGGGGGCGGGGGGGGGGGCGGGGGGGGGGGGGTGGGGGGGGTGGGGGGGGGCGCGGGGGGGGGGGGGGGAGGGGGGGGGGGGGGGGGGGGGCGGGGGGGGGGGGAGGGGGGGGGGGGGGGGGGCGGGGGGGGCGGGGGGGTCGGGTGGGGGGAGGGGGGGGGGGGGAGGGGGGGGGGGGGGGGGGGGGCGGGGGAGGGGGGGGGGGGGTGAGGCCGGGGTGGGCGGGGGGGGGCGGGGGGGGGGGGGGGGGAGGGGGCGGGGGGGGGGGGGGGTGGGGGGGGGGGGGGGGGGGGGGGGGGGGGGGGGGAGGGGGGGGGGGGGGGGGGGGGGGGAGGGGGGGGGTGGGGGGGGCTGGGGGGGGGGGGTGGGGGGGGGGGGGGTGGGGGGGGGGGGGGGGGTGGGGGGGGGGGAGGGGGGGGGGGAGGGGGGGGGAGGGGGGGGGGGGGGGGCGGGGGGGGGGGGGGGGGGGGGGGGGGGGGGCGGGGGGGGGATGGGCGCTGGGCGCGCAGGACGTGGCGAAGACGGGGGGGACCGGGGGGGGCGGAGGAGGTGGCCCGAGGTGCGGCCGGTGAGGCGGAGGCGGGCGAAGGGGTGGGGGGGCGGGGGCGACTGGGGGGGGGGGGTTACGGGGGGGTGTAGGGGCGGGGAGGCGGGCGGGAAGGTTGCGACACGGGGGGGGGGGCGGGGGGCAGGGGGAAACGGGGGAAGGAGGGAGGGGGGCAGGGAGGGCCCGGCGGGGGGGCCCGACGAGGGGTGGAGGGAGGGGGCGGGGGCGGGGGGGCTTGGGGGGGGGGGGAACGGTACGGAGTACGGTGACTCGGATCCCGCGGGCGTGGGGTGGGGGGGTGGGGGGCGGGCTGGGGGAGGGGGGGGGGGGAGGATGCGGGGAGGAGGGTGGGGGGTGGCGGCGAGTGGGGTGGGGGGAACGGTGGGGTGAGGAGGGGTGGGTGGGGGGGGGGGAGCCACGGGGGCGCGTGCAGGGGGAGGGGGTGGAGAAAGGGTCGGGTCGGGCAGGGGGCCGGGGTGGACCGGCGGAGGGTGCGGGAGGGGGGAGCGAGGGACTGGGGGAGAGAGAGGATGGGGGGGTTGCGAGCGTCCTTGGGGGCGGGGGGGGTGGGTGTTGGAGGGGGGAGGGAGGCGTGGGGGGGGGTCGGGGGCGGGGGCGGGAGGCCGCTCTACCAGCCTAGAACACGGTTACTGGACTGTGCACTCCTTACACACCAGCTAGCAACAGCGGTCTCCTGCATACTGTATGGACAAGGTAGCCGATAATAGTTATGTAGGCAAACTGTAAACATGCCCATCCAGCTTTACCACACCGGGGCGGTCAAGCAATAGCCCATCAATGGAAATGGCAATAAATAAAATAAACCGAACCAAGTATATGGATATGCATACTTAAATAAATAAAATAAATAAAACTTTTATTCCCGACAAGGCCAGGCACACCTTTAGAGGCATGATCATTTTGACAAAACAATGCGTTATCAAGAATTTGCAAATATCCGATATGTTTACCATAACAGTGCTTGTTTGTGCAGGGGGAATGTTAGTATGTAATTGTGTGTGCGTTTATGTAGCTGTGTAATTTGCGCTTGTAAATGTGCTACTCCATTCTTGAATGTTTGCTATCGTCAGCAATGTGCGAGTAGAAGATTAGTGTCCGTGGGTTGGAAAGGATTATCCAGATGTCCACTGAGCAGTGACTTTATTTTGTGGCGAGCAACGAGCGCCACGTCACATTGTTGTTAAGCAGACATTTGGGACTTTTTATGGGGAAAACGCTTGCCAGGCGAAAACCCACCACGTCCTGCAACATTGCCGCCGAACTACTAGCTGGAACGGGTTAAACATGAACCACCCAGCTGGCACCGCGAGGAGGTTGTTCGGCTATCCAGCCTCACTATTTAGCATCTCAACTAAACTCGTCAACAAGCTAGCCTTTGCCAATACAGCTCCGCACGTTTGTGCGAAGGACCTCAAGTGTATGGCTATGCTGTCTACCTAAATACTTCACACAGGCTGACATCAATATCAATATTAATCGTTTATTTAGCTAAGTTTAACAACGTTGCCTTTCTCTCTCCAGCTGGCTTCGAAGACTTCGGCTGCTGAAAAAAACCGTGACGTGGCGGTCGTGACTAAAGTCACTGCCCCGTGGAAATCCGGGTAAACCTATCCAACCCATGGGCACCAAACGTCTACTCGCATATGGCTGACGATAACAAACATCCAAGATTGGAGCAGCACAATTACAAGCACAAGACTACACAGCTACGTACACACATAATTACATACTTACATACCCCCTACGCAAACATACACCGTTATGGTCCACATATCGGATTTTTGCACTTTCATGATCATACATTGTTATGTCAAAAGGCCCATACCTGTAAAGGCCTGCCTCGCCTTGTCCAGAATAAAATCTTTATTTATTTAGTTACTCCTTTTATTATCACTTGGCTCTGGCTTTATTTTCCTCCTACGCACCACCTACCTCCGTTGCTCACTGTGTTACCTTCTACTCTGTAACCACGCCTTACTGCGCGTATATCCTCAAGTAGCTGGCTATGTTACCCACCTTTATCCTTCCCCAGCTAACCTCGCTAGCACGAACAATAGTTCCTCTACTAAAATTAACAACCCTGCAGCGACCCACTTTAGCTCGTTTCGTATCCCTTGAATATTCCTACTCTACCCTAAGCTCCATTGCTTTGGCTTTCATTTCTATCTACTGACTACCTACCACGGCTGCATCAATGAATTAAATTTGACGCCTTCACACCGCACTATTGCGCGCAGAACCCCAATTATTTGGCTTTGCTGCCTAACAACCTCCTAACTTCAAACTACGCGTTATCATTAATAATTGCTTTTCTTTTTAACAAGCACACTGCATTTCCCTCTTTACCTTCTATTTTATCCTGTGCCTTGGCGTAGTCCTTATCTTATCCCGCTGGCTCTTCCTTTCTCTTTTTTACTTAGACAACACATACCTCTGTTGCTCCACTGATTTACAATGGATATTTTTGCTCCGCACTTTAGTGCGAGGCACCTCAGCTTTTGGCTACGTTGCTTAGCTGTATCCTTCCACCAAGCAAAAGATAGCATTGGATAATACTTGTTCCACTATTTAACCTTCCAAACCCTGCAGTGTCCCTCTTCAACCCGCATCGTATCATTGCTTTGTCCTTCACCTTCACTTATACCTTAAGCTCTGGCTATAATTTTTTAAGCAACACCTGCCGCCGCTGCTCCTTCGACTTAATTTTGATACTGTAACCGTTCATATTTGCGAAGGACCTTAAGTTTTGGCTAGGCTGCCCACCCAAATCCTTAGCAAAGCTGACATCCTTATTACAAATATTTGTTCTTTTGTTTAACCTTAACAACACAGCATTTTCCTTCTACGCCTCGTGTCGTATCTCTTGCCTTGGCTTAGCCCTTATCTTAGCCCCTTGGCTCTGTTTTTGAATTCCTCTTACGCACGACGTACCTACGCTGCTCCACCGACCTACCTTTGACAGTAGCTTCGCACCTTAGTGTGATGATTTCTATTGTTTGACCATGTAGCACAACTTTATCCTTCCCTTAGTTGACAACGCTTTCCCCGTTAAATTCCCCCACTTTAATAAATAGAAGGTTGCATATATTGTCTTCACCACTTTATATCCCTTGCATGACCCTACTACTTATCCTACTTCTTTGGCTCCGGCTTTCCGTTAACCTCTTAATCATGAGCGAATTCTACTACGAAATTAATTCGGCTCTTATCTTCACTACCCCTGCGTCCAGTTGACTTTCCAGTTCCTTGGTAGTAATTCAGCCTCGAGTGGCTGACTTAACCCATTGGATCGCCATATGACCGTTATATTCCACAACAGTTGGTTCTTAGTATAGGTAGATCAGCAACCCTATCCCTGCTTCAGTCATGCTATTTGCTCCTATAAATTATGATTCCTCCACTTTTTGACTGCTCGGCAGTCCATGTTACCCTAATGCCTCAACCTCGTGTGGTCACTGCTAAGTAGTTATTCCGGCTCTTGTCCTCACTACCCTCTAAGTCCAACTGATTTACCAGTGACACCATAGAACTCCAAATTCGAGTAGTTCACTTGCTCGACGGAAGTGCCGTTGGGCTATTTAATTCCCCAACTGTTGGCTACTTGTACGGCTCGTTCTGAAGAGCCATCTTTATTCCTGCAGCAGCATTTTCTCTTTCAATTAACGCTCTTCTTTTGAGAGTTTTGTTCTTTCGGCACCTATCCCTCGTGCCGCGTCTTTTTCTTTGCTGCATAGCTCTGACACCTAGTTGCTGTATACGGATATTCTTTTCGCAACGTCAATATCAAACGCAAGTACACATACAGGACATCATATTTAGTATATACACATACGAAACAGGTTAGTTTGATAAGGCTTCAGGTCGCCTGCTAGCCTCACTTCCTCGTTTCCTTTCGGAATCGTTTCTGTCGCTGACCTCTTCCTTGCCCCTCCGCTATCCCTGCATAGAAGGGGCGTAGTAAAATTAGTTTGATCATCGTCTGTCGGCAAAGTTTCCGAAGGTTATCCTGGTGAGTCCAAAGTCATGGGTGAACCGGCCGGACCAACGCCTGCTGCAACCTGTCCTCTCGAGCTGTAACTTACGGCGGTCTGAACAATATTGTTCAACTCCTAAGCACCATTTGAACATTCCCTCAACAAATAGTCATCATCTTGCACCTACTCCGCTTATGTGCGATGCCCTTGCGTTATGTACCGTCCACCTAGCCAGTGAATTAATTCTCCAGGTTTTCGAACCCTCATCTGTTTGGCATTATTATCCTATGGATATACTACCCACCTTGCCAGTGTGGTCTGGAAACAATCCTAAGCACCTTGGACGCTTATCTATTATGATCTGTATGATTGCGTTCAGTCATACCTGTATTCTGGAGGATACAGTGAACCATTCAATTCACACCTATCTTCCACTGGTTTGAACAATCGGATACCAAACCCTCGAACCTGCGAAACACCACCACTTTACTAAAAATGCCAGAACCGTGGTTTTACGCGATTATACCACGGTTACCTTACCCCAACACCAACGTGGGTCGCCGAAGACCTCACGCCTTGCAGATGAATATCGCCTGTTTTCGGTCATTCTGGAGACAACAGCGAGCCCCTTGATCGGTCTACTCTGCTGGCTTGAAGGGTTAAAATTCTATCCTATAAAACGTTGAAACAACTCATCCAAAAATGCTTTCTCCTTGCAAGCGTTCTACTTAACAACCGCGATTATTCTGCTGAGACCTGACTGCGAATCACAACTAGCCTTTGTGTTAACTGCTCGGAAGTGTATACGGCGTAGTAAATATCCGGTCCTTAGTACCCATAGGTTCTTGTTCATCTGGTATCGCCCGTTTAACCGTTACTTGCGCATCCTGACTAAGCACTATTCTCAGCCGATGGAAAATGGACACGCCATGACCTCCATTAGCACTGCGGAAATCGGTCGTATAGTTGTATTGCCAATGACTTACAGATGAAGCTTGTGGTCAAAGGTAATGTTCCAGGACGAGGCGAGTTTCTGCCTGGCAAGTGTTCCCCCATATAAAACTACAAATGTCCGCCAACCAACACTGCGACGTGACGGATGTGACCCGCCACCGAGATAACGTCTCTGACAAATGCTAAACACTGGCAAAGTTCCCGTTAGCCGAACTTTGTGCACACGACCGCATTTGAACAAATCCTCATTCTTTCATCCAACAGCCCTTATTAAACACTCTACACTGTTCCCACACACACGGAAAAGTGGAAAGCAAACATACAGAACGTACACGGTTACGGCAATTATATATGCTTTTCGCTCCTTCCTGCTCACGCATTACTCTGTCAAATTGATCATGCAGGTGAAGGCGTACCACGCCCGGTTAAGGATGAAAGCTT